TTTTCAGCTGCCTTGTCAGCTTTTTGATTTATTAAAGAACTTATTTTTGTTACACCTTTAACCTGCCTGTGCCCTGGGTCATTCCATGTTTAAAACTGACATATGGTTTCATTTAAAAGAGTTGACCATCAGATATTGTCCAAGATTAACCTTCAGGGTGGATATAGCTCGCTAGCAGCCTCGCACGGAGGACCTATCCACGTCATCTTTTACCCAGAATGCTTTGTGTGTAAATAAAATGGCTCCGTCCATGTTAAAATATATATTTTTTAAAATTTACAAAACTAAACCCCTCTCCTTGGGCTGCTACCTTATCGTGGTGGAGGGGTTTGAGTTTCCCAATGATCCTAGGAGCTATGCTGTCTGGGGCTTTATGCCCCTGGTAGGGTCACCCAWGGCAGACAGGTCCTAGGTGAGGAACCAGACAAAGCACAGCCCAAAGACCCCTTATGATGTTTAAAAAAATTGGATCTGGCGTTCCCTCGCCCGAAAGTGGGTCACGGGGGTCCCCCTCTGGAGCCAGGCCTGGAAGTGGGGCACGATGGCGAGCGCCTGGTGGCGGGTACAGTGTGAAATGGGCGGCGGCTGAAGGAGGGGACCCTGGCGGTTTGATCCTCGGCTGCAGAAGCTGGCTCTTGGGACGTGGAACGTCACCTCTCTGGYGGGGAAGGAGCCGGAGCTAGTGTGCGAGGCTGAGAGGTTTCGGCTAGAAATAGTCGGCCTCACCTCGACGCATGGCTCTGGTTCTGGAACCAGTCTCCTTGAGAGGGGGTGGACGTACTTCCACTCTGGAGTTGCCTGCGTTGAGAGGCGCCGGGCAGGAGTGGGCATACTTGTTGCCCCCCATCTTGGCGCCTGTATGTTGGGGTTTACCCCGGTGAATGAGAGGGTAGCCTCCCTCTGCCTAAGGGTGGGGGGACGGGTTCTGACTGTGCTCACGGGCCGAACAACAGTTCAGATTACCTACCCTTCTTGGAGTCGTTAGAGGGGGTACTGGAGGGTGCCCCTCCTGGGGACTCCCTTGTTCTGCTGGGGGACTTCAAAGCTCACGTGGGCACTGACAGTGAGACCTGGAGGGGCGTGGTTGGGAGGAACGCCCCCGATCTGAACTCGAGTAGTTTTCTGTTGTTGGACTTCTGTGCTCGTCACAGATTGTCCATCACGAACACCATGTTCAGGCATAAGGGTGTCTATATGTGCACTTGGCACCAGGACACACTGGGCCACAGTTCGATGATCGATTTTGTTGTCGTTTCATCGAATCTGCAGCCGTATGTCTTGGACACTCGGGTGAAGAGAGGGGCGGAGCTGTCAACTGACCACTACCTGGTGGTGAGCTGGCTCCGGTGGTGGGGGAGGAAGCCGGTCAGACCTGGCAAGTCCAAACATGTAGTGAGGGTCTGCTGGGAACGTCTGGCGGAGTTCCCTGTGAGACGGAGCTTCAACTCCCATCTCCGGCAGAACTTCGAACACGTTCTGGGGGAGGTGGGGGACATTGAGTCTGAATGGACCATGTTCCATAGAGGTGGCTTATCGGAGTTGCGGACGCAAGGTTGTTGGTGCCTGTTGCGGTGGCAACCCTCGAACCCATTGGTGGACACCTTCGGTGAGGGATGCTGTCAAGCTGAAGAAGGAGTCCTATCGGGCCTTTTTGGCCTACAGGACTCCAGAAGCAGCTGATGGGTACCGGCAGGCGAAGCGGCATGCGGCTCAGGTGGTCGCTGAGGCAAATACCCGGGCATGGGAGGAGTTTGGAGAGGCCATGGAGAAAGACTTCTGCACGGCTTCGAGGCGATTCTGGTCCACCATCTGGCGTCTCAGGAGGGAGGAGCAGTGTAGCACCAACACTGTTTATGGTGGGGATGGTGTGCTGCTGACTTCAACTCGTGACGTTGTGGGCCGGTGGGCGGAATACTTCGAAGACCTCCTCAATCCCACCAACATGCCTTCTGTTGAGGAAGCTGAGCCTGGGGACTTTGGGTTGGGCTCTCCAATCTCTGGGGACGATGTCGCTGAGGTGGTTAAAAAGCTCCTCGGTGGCAGGGCCCCGGGGGTGGATGAGATCCGCCCGGAGTTCCTYAAGGCTCTGGATGTTGTAGGGTTGTGTTGGCTTACGCGACTCTGCAATACCACATGGACATCGGGGGCAGTCCCCTGGATTGGCAGACTGGGGTGGTGGTCCCCCTGTTTAAAAAGGGGGACCGGAGGGTGTGCTCCAATTACAGGGGGTCACACTCTTAAGCCTCCCTGGTAAGGTCTATTCAGAGGTCCTGGAGAGGAGGGTCCGTCGGATAGTCGAACCTCGGATTCAGGAAGAGCAGTGTGGTTTTCATCCTGGTCATGGAACACTGGACCAGCTCTACACCCTCAGCAGGGTCCTGGAGGGTGCATGGGCGTTTGCCCAACCAGTCTACATGTGTTTTGTGGATTTGGAGAAGGCGTTCGACCGTGTCCCAAGGGGGGCCTTGTGGGGGGTTCTCCAGGAGTATGGGGTACCGGGCCATTTGATACGGGCTGCCAGGTCCTTGTATGACAGGTGTCAGAGTCTGGTCCGCATTGCCGGCAGTAAGTCGGGCTCGTTTCCGGTGAGAGTTGGACTCTGCCAAGGCTGCCCTTTGTCACCAATTCTGTTCATTACTTTCATGGAYAGAATTTCTAGGCGCAGCCGAGGTGTTGAGGGGATCCGTTTTGGTGGCCTTAGGATCGCATCTCTGCTTTTTGCGGATGATGTGGTCCTGTTGGCTTCATCGGAACGAGATCTGCAGCTCTTGCTGGAGCGGTTCGCGGCCGAGTGCGAAGCGGCCGGGATGAGGCTCAGTGCCTCCAAATCCGAGGCCATGGTCTCGAGCCGGAAAAGGGTAGAGTGCCTTCTCCGGGTCAGGGGGGTTGTCCTGCCTCAAGTGGAGGAGTTTAAGTATCTGGGGATCTTGTTCACGAATGGGAGAAGAAGAGTGAGGGAGATCAACAGGCCAATTGGTGCATCATCTGCTGTAAATCGGGCGCTGTACCGGTCCGTCGTGGTGAAGCAAGAGCTGAGTCAGAAAGCGAAGCTCTCGATTTACCGGTCGATCTACGTTCCTACCCGCATCTATGGTCATGAGCTTTGGGTCATGACCGAAAGAACGAGGTCCCGGATACAAGCGGCCGAAATGGGTTTCCTCCGCAGGGTGGCTGGGCTCTCCCTTAGAGATAGGGTGAGAAGCTCGGTCATCCAGAACGGACTCAGAGTAGAGCCACTGCTCCTCCACGTCAAGAGGAGCCAGTTGAGGTGGCTCGGGCATCTGGTAAGGATGCCTCTTGGACGCCTCCCTGGTGAGGTGTTCCGGGCACGTCCCACCAGGAGGAGGCCCCGAGGAAGACCCAGGACACGCTGAAGGGACTGTGTCTCTCGGATGGCCTGGGAACGCCTTGGAGTTCCCCCGGAGGAGCTGGAAGAAGTGGCTGGGGAGAGGGAGGTCTGCGCCTCCCTTCTGAAACTGCTGCCCCCGTGACCCGACCCCGGATAGGCGGAAGAAAATGGATGGATGGATGGATGGATGGATTTAAAACTAAACAGCGTACAGTATTTTTACAGACTTTATTTTACAGTTAAAATAAATGTTTATCAAATAAAGTTTAATGTTACAACTAATCGTGGATCCCTTTAACTTTCTGACCATAATTTAACATTAAATTAACATCTTTTGCTATCTAGGTAGACATATTTGCAGGAGAGACTAAATTAAACTTTTCTGGTTGCTACAGACTCTAAGTACACACCAAAATGCTTTTAACAGCTAAAACAGTGGATTTTGAACATGTTCCCTCTAACACTAACTCTTAACAATCTTATTTATTTCCTCTCTACATCTGAACACACTGAAAAGGGGTTTTTATGCAGCCCTATCTTCTGTGCAAACTTTTAAAAAAGCTTGCTGGTGTGTGACTCATTCTGCCACTCTTCCTCCCTCCCTGTTTGCTGGAATCTCCCCAGATCTCAGCAGCTGGGGAGAAATGGGAGCATTCCACTAATTATATATAAAAAGTCTGGAGGAGGGCTGCAGGGAGGGTGTGTGTGTGTGTCTCTTCCACTTTGCAGACCACAGCCATACTAGCCAATTAAAGTGGCTGGTGCAGTGCAGCGCCATTCTGACAGCTGCTGGTACCCTATCAGGTTAGAGTGGATACACTCTGAGGTGGGGGGGGGGGGCGCTCTGTGAACCATCTCTAACCAGAGGGATTCAGAGGAAGACCCAGGACACACTGGAGGGACTATGTTTCTCAGCTGGCCTGGGAACACCTTGGAATTCTCCCAGAGGAGCTGGTCCAAGTGGCTGGAGAGAGGGAAGTCTGGGTCTCTGCTTAGACTGCTGCCCAGAGACCTGACCCCAGATAAGAGGAAGAAAACAGACGGGCAATGAAGTTTATCTGTTTGAAAATAAATATCTTTGTTGTGTATTCAATTGAATATAAGTTCAAATGATTTGTAAATCATTAAAATCTGTTTTTCTTTATATTTCATACAATGTCCCAACTTCATTGGACCTGTTTGTAGAATAGAATAGAATAGAATAGAATAGAATAGAATAGAATAGAATAGAATAGAATAGAATAGAATAGACAGCTTATTGAACCCCCAGAGAAACTGGCTATTGTTGTTGGATATCAAGGTCTACACTGATGTTTGTTCACAATCCTGGCCAACAGAGCCAGTCCTGATTCAAATTCTCCACAAGCAAACTTCAGCAGTGTACAGGCTGCATGTCAGGAAACCACTGCCACCATGCTCCACCCATGAGCTCATTACATGCTAACAACCCACTAGCTAGTATGGAGTCCGTCTCACCTGAAGACCATGAAAAGACCATTTGTAGTCTGCCAGTTTTTCTTCATTTGTCGAGGCCAAGTTGTCACACAGTGTCAAGTTTTTTTAAACTATTTTTGACGAATTACACGTCATTGTCATGAACCACGTCTGTTCTTTAACCAAAGTCATGTCATAATTACTCACTGCCTCATTGTTTCACCCCTCCCGTCACAGAAACTCATAATCAGCATCATACCACTCACCTGTTGTCACCAGTATTTAAGGTCCACTCTCCCACAGCTCCAGTGCCAGATTTATGAACAGTTCTCCTAGTAATAGTCCAGCATTCATGTCACGTCATGCCTGCCTCGTCTCAACCTTGTTTCTCCTCACTGGTTCCACGTCTCCCGCCTTGCCCCTGAATGGTACTGCCTCAGACTCTGAACTCCTGGTTTTGACCCCCGCTCTGGACTCTGGATCTCTGCCTTCTGTCTCTCTCCCTGTCGGACCTGTTCAGCCATCTGATCCTCGGATTTCGACCACCGCCTGTCTGCCCCGACCTCGAGTTAAGTCTGCTCGTCCAAACCTGGTTCTGCTCTCAGTCTGCCTGTGTATGACCCCCGCCTGTCCCACAGATCCCCCTGGATCTCCAAGTCCCACCGGAGGCTTCTCACTAAACACAGAAGTGTCGCCGGTCTCCACCCGATGCTTTCCACGTCTATCAAGAGTTCACTAAGGACCAAGCGTTCCCTTAAAAGGTTAGTGGCTCAGTTTTATGTAAGATCTGTCCTTCTGTTTAATCCAACCTAATCTGATCCTCTCCTGTTTAGAACTCCTGGTTCCCTTGACGTGTCGATCCAGATCCAGCTGCCTGTTTGTTAATAAAACCCTTAAAACTGCTCAGGTGTTTGGCATTTCTGTGGAACTCAATAATTCATTCATTACATTCATCTGAAGTTGTTCGACTACCAAGAATGTAAAACAAAAATCCAGATGAAATGTTTTCTGTTGGAGGTTTGATCACAGAGGCTCTACAGTTCTCTTACACACATTAATAAGAGGTAAAAGGAAGAGATGAGAGATTAGATAATGTGAGAATGAGACATTGGTGAGACAGAAAAAGGAAAGACAGTAGGTGATAAAGAAGGACGAGTGTTGTCAGTGTTGAAGGAGCAGAAACATGGTGGAGAGCAGAAGGAGCTGTCAGCTGCTCTCTGTGTTTCTCACTGACTTTTTAACAACTTGATCAATCCATCCTGCTTTAATCTTACCCAGTGACTCATTATGAAATTAACTGCCTCACTGCTGCACGCTGACATTACTTCCCTTTTCATGGATCAGCCTGTTTCTGAAGCAGCTACAATTTTATCTACTTATTTAGTTCATTAGTGCATGGTTTAGATGTAGCACTCAGCGTTAGTTTTAAATGTCAGCATTGGCAGCGATGGATGAAGAGTTTGCACACTGCACCCAGGCAAATCAATCAACAACTGAAACAAGAAACTTAAGGTTTATTATTCTATCTTAAGGCTCTAAGACTCTGTTCTACCCTTAAAAGCTTCAAAAAGCTGGTCAAATTCCTTACCAATAATCTGCATAAATATATATTCCACTCTGAGTTTTACAGCAAACTATGGGAGACAGTGTTTGAACATTTTCTTCATGGGTTGATGTAAAAACAATGTAATCAATAAAAAGACATACTGGTGTTCCAGTCTTTATTTACTGGACTCTGTATAGTGATGGACTGTGTTTATGCGTAGTTCCAGGTTTCAGAAAGTGAACCCATGTTGTCCTGTTAGGGTCACTGAAAACACATGCTCTTTACAGTTTTAACTACCTTAACTCCACTCTAACTTAAACTGTAACCTTTAACCTGTCTTTAAATGAGTGGTTTGGCTGATTGTTAAAATGATGTTCTGTCAGTAGTTAGGACCAACTCAGCACTGATGAGCCTTTATGTTGACATGTTAGCAGGTGCAGCAGCTAAAGACTGTGATGAAGTTATAACAAACAGCAGGGGTCCACCCAGTTGGGCGTTTTAACAACAACAAACGTGTTCCAGAGGGAAGATCAGTGGTGATGATGCTAACCAGAAGGTTAGCTTAACTGAGTTATTTCATCAGATTTAGAAAATGAAGGATACAAGGCAGACACTCTGCTGAGTCCTCTCCACTCCTCCTTTAGTTCCATTGTTTGCTTCAGTTCTGACAGGTCAGGATATGCAGGAGGTGGTCCGTTCCACCAGTGATTTATGGAAAACCAGAGGCAGAAAAGTGACAGGCTGGCGTCTGCACTCATTTCACTAAACGTTTTATGAAACAGCATAATGAGTAAAACTAATGGTTAGCCTGAGTGTCCTCCTTTATGGTGTTTATTTTTTAAGACACGTAAAACAACTGTTGGTAAAAATCAGGGTTCATGCAGGTTTCAGTAAGTTAAATTTAAGACCTTTTAAGACCATTAGTAATGACATTTAAGACCAAATCGACGCATTAACAGAAAAATTCAAATGGTCCCAGAAATTTTATAATAGAAACCTTTTATTGC